ACGTCCCCTCATCTTCATTACATTCCTCAGAGGAATATAGGAATATATAGCATATTGGACATTATTCGTCTTAACATGATTGCAGTTTAAATTAAATATGCATTCCTAAATAAGGTCAATTCACTGTCAAGAGTGAAGTATTTTTTAAAGGAAGTATTTTTTAAAGGAAGGTGCATACAAATCACGTCTGTTAGGGATTTTTGTGCAAAGTGTCTCACACTCTTAAAATAAAAACTCACCCAGGTTTCTCACATTGTTACAGCTGCCCACAAAGCACCAAAGAGCTGAAGCCAAGCAGCCTTAAAGAAATAGTGCTGATTCATAAGACCTCATGACCCGATACATCAATTCTAATCGCATTTTACTACAGCACAATGCGCGATGAACTGAGGAAAATGTCCATTCTCAAGCATTATCTAACGCGCTTCTATGCATCCTACTACCAAATCTGTCAGTGCTGATTCAAGTCTGTTGGGGCTCTTGGCGAGAAATTCACAGGGTCCTCCTACCACCAGAATTCATAACCATTATAAATAATGACCAATTTGAATGGTTATGAATTGTTAATAGTGTATCTTCTCCATAAATAGCTTCCCCATTCGGCTTTCTTACCTGCTCAGGACTATTAGCTGGCTGAAGCTTCTGGCTGCAGACTGTAGAGTTTAGCTGGGTCCTGATTGTCACACACATCAGTTCTGGATACAGAATTCACATTCAGACACATGCTAAGACAGAGAGCAGAACCAAAGGCCGTTGCAGCATCATCCACAGCAGCAGCAGCAGTAGCAGTGACAGCAACAAGGGGGCAGCGGTGATGCAGAAAGAAACAGCAGTAAGAATCAAATCAATGCTTTTACAGTCCTCATTCTAAAACAGAAGTGCGATCAGTGCGTGCAAGACAAATGTGGCAGCGCAGTTTGTGACGGTATGCTTCTACCATTATTTACTGCTACTAGATGCATCAACTTAATTAGTCGCTGAAATTAAAAGACAGCTAATTACAACCAATATTTCTACCCTCCAGTAAGTCAGCGACAGACACCAGCAGGTGCTTTGCAGTTATTTAAAAAGAGTCTTACCTGTTGTCATTGATATCTGTGGTGTTTCCTGTGGACAGAAAGAGTGCATGAGGAGGCAGGCAGGTGCACAGTGACAAGGTTGGTGGCGTGTGAAGTGAGGGAGGAAAAGTGGGTTTGTAACAGACACGTAAGTTCAATTAAAACAGCCTAATGTGAAAGTGAAGTTAGACGGCCTTGGAACAAGCAGCTGCATAATGTGTTGTATTAGACGCCGATATCTCACATTTGAATGACTAAACAGAACATTTTACGAGCACTTTACTGATCTGGCAACCCCATCAGTAAGGCAAGGATGGAAAAGCAGCACCAGC